GTGCTTGCAATGGGAGTGATGATACCAGCAGAAATTCAAATGAATGTGGACATTCTCCTGAAACAAATGTGAGTATGAATAAATGTGTTACAAAATTAACATAACATAAACTTCAAATAACTTCTCTTTTCAGTTTCTTGACTCAGTGGGCAAATTGAAAAACAATTACAAAACTATCTTGGACAAGTCAATGCAAAACCATTTAAATAATTCCACCGCCTATAAGGGGACTCTATTTTTGAAATTATCAATGATTTTACAGAATGATTCTGATGGCAATTGCTAACCTAAAATTATAAATTTATCATGTCTGATACTGACTAACAGAAGAATTTGGAAGGTGGTGTCAATATTTTACACAATATTTCTGGAAAGTAAACTGAAATTGCTTCCTCTTAATGACAACAAACAGCTTCCTATTCATGAAGCGTATTGCACCGTATAAACATTTTACATAAAAATTATGGCCCAACGCCACTGCAATAACATTTTCGGCAATGATGATGATGATTAGGAGGAGGATGTAGAGGAAGGAATTTCAAGTAGTTTAGAAGTATATAATCACTATAAAAACAAAATAAAAGCAGAGTGTCAAAGAAGGAAAATGTGGAGAAAAAAATATTTGGGGGATATTTTAAAATCAATGGGGTTTTGCAAGTTATCATCCATCAAAATACTGAAGACCATTGCAGTTCCACAGACAGAAATTATTCATAGAACTGTTAACAAATAAGACAGGGTCTACTGGGCAATAAAAGAAAAAATGAAATAATCAATATGTTGACTGCTCACTTAAGAGAAACTGGATGAAAGTACTCCTCAAAAATCCTTGATGCCAAGCAGCACAGGAGACAAGGATCTCAAAACCTTCAATACAAACTGCCACAAATTTCCTGACACTACCAACACTTTAGTGCATGCACTGTAACCACGTCATCCTGCTAACAAAATCTTTCAGTCTGTTCATGATGGTAAAACTGACCTCACATTATTTTTTTCTGATAAGGCTTGGTTTTACTTGAATGGGTATGAAAATTCATAGAAAAACAGATTCTACAACTCACATAATCTCAGGATAATATTAATACTAAAATTGGTGCATGGTGTGACAGGAGTTGAAGCTGGTGTCAGGAATGCATTTTATTTATTTAATTAATAGCATATTTACAATCTACTCTTGATAATATGAAGTAATAAGTAAATTTGTTTTAAGTAGGTGTCTAGAGTAGAGAAGTCGCCCACTGATGATGCTCTGACAGGCCCTGTAGAGGAATGGTGATGGTTTTAATCTTTGTCATCTGTGGGCTGTGGTAGGTCAGACGGCCCGTCTCCTCAATCTTCTTCTTACATTTGCTGGGTTGCTAATTTCTACAACTAGTCTTCTATTGTATCCGAGTATGCTTTGGTGGTAGAGTACTGCCAGTCTATGTATTTCTTCTATGACAAATGGGATTTGCAAATCATTGTGGATAGTAAATTTGGAGACATACTAAGGTGCTTTAGTTACTGAGTGCAAGAATTTGGATTGAAGTCTTTGAATTATTTTTGTGTTTGATGCTTTTGTACAATCCCATAGCTGTATACCATATGCCCATATGAGTTTTATTATGCACTTACATAGTAGAAGTCTATTTATATGGACAGCTTCAATTTAAGGCCCAAAAACAGGTTATTTCTTGTAGTTTTAAATTTAAGTTCTGACGCTTTCTTTTGAT